GATGCTGATGTAGTTGAATGTATTTTCCACTTGACTACCATAAATCATGGAGTAGCTCCGATGAATATTCAACTTGTACACACGAGGCACTTTTCTGCGTTGAAATGGATAACTCATAGAACGGCAAAGGCGATTTTTTCGTTATTTTCTATTCCTGAAAATAATAAAATTCGTGATTATTTTATTCTAATTCAATTTCAATAAAAATATATATTTGTCCTCTTTTGCCTTGTATGCTACAACTACACTAATGAATTAAAATATGTTCAAGAAAAAAAAAAAACTGCAATGAATTATTATTATTATTGCTTGTAGGTTTTTTTTGTTTGTTAATTAAATCTCGTTCAAAGTGTAAAGAAAATATTTGAAAAAATGATGAAATTCGATGATGAAAAAAAAAAAAGCGCGGGAATCGAGCGCGAGAGCGAGACCGAGACCGAGACCGAGACCGAGACCGAGACCGAGAGCGTACGGTAAAAACTGGACGTGCGTCGAGATTCGATTAGTGCAACAGGGGCACAGTTGCACCGAGGGAACGAACACGAAGAAAAAAAAGCCCGGTGATCGAAACCGAGACCGAGACCCAGAGCGAGCGCCAGACGAGAACGTACGGTAAAAACTGGACGTGCGTCGAGATTCGATCAGTGCAATAAAGGCACAAGTGCACCGAGAGAAAAATTAAAGAAAATATAAAAAAGAAAGGATGAAGAAAAAAAGAAAAGAAAAAAAATGTAAGAAAAAAAAGGGGATCGAGAGCGAGCGCGCATAAATAAAAACTCGACGTGCGTCGAGATTCGATCAGTGCAACAGGGGCACAAGTGCACCGAGGGAAAAAAAATAAAAAGTTAAAGAAAAAAAAAATTGAGAAAAAAAAAACACAAAGAGAAAAAAAACTTAAAGAAAAAAAAAATCAGAGAAAAAAAAAAAAAAAAGAAAAAAAAAATAGAAAAAAAAAAAAATAAATCGACGATCGAACGAACACAGAGTCGTTTCGATTCGGAGGTCCCGTCCAGCCGACAGGACGAATCCCCCGAGCAAGAGCATAGTCTCAACAGATCGCATCTCAGAGTTTCGTGATGCTCTCTAGTGTACAACACTCCGCCCAGCACCTAAGTCGTTTGCGAACGATTCCGGGTCTCCACGTCGACGTGCACGCGTGCGTGTCACGCTGGAACCATGGTGCTCGGAGGCGAAACGGAGCGAGGAACCGATCCCCGCGTCGAAGCGGGAACCGCTCGCTCCGCGCCCGGCCCGAGATCCGGCTTTCACGTGTCTGTGTGTGCTTGGTCACATCGTGCCGTGAGCGATCCGGAAAGACCGATGCAGTCTTTCTAGATCTATCACTAGCGCTTACGGTCGGACGCGGGTTTTCTTTGCTGGAACGCTCGTCGAGCGAGCGAGCGCGAACGGCCGACGAAAGCGACGAGATCCGGCGCCGTGCGGCCGCGAAGCCGCAGACGTCGTTCCCGCCGCCCTCCCGCGGCGAATGAACTCCGCGAGAAAGACGGCGACGT